AGCCACGTTTCACATACAGCAGCAATGTCAGTTTTTGTGTCCGATATCAATTGGGACAAGTCAGTAAGTTTATGACGTAGACTGCAAATATTCAGGGACAGTGTCGACGATTCCTGATGAGTGTTGTACGAAAACTTGTTTGAATCCATATTTTTTTCCCTACACCATTTCTTCATATTTTCATCGTTTTATTGCACATCGTCTCAACCGTTTTTACATTGCATGAATAAAGTACACAAATGTCGGTTCAGCTAGTTTTATTGATTGCGGTTATTAAAAATAAATAAAATCAAATAAAAGAGGTGCGTTACTTACGAAGAGCCTTGTTGAAAGCGGAAAGTGTCTCAGGCTCTCAGCACGTCGAATACTATAGGAAAGGGAGAGCCAAAATCGATATGCCATAAACACAGGTGAGTTTAGAAACAAAGATAAACGAGGAGCAGGCAATGATACATATACTTGATTTCGAGTAGGTCTATCTCGCTGGAACCAGTCATACTATTCCAAGTGTTGGGGAAATCGTTTGAGATAAATTCTATGAGCAAGGGTACATAAGTGGGCTTGGTGGCGCTCACAGAGCGGGGATGAGGCAATCCGAGAATATAATTGGGCACTGCTGAATAACTGAGGCAGTCCAAATAACCGTTTGATAATCTTTTTATGATGCTTTTCAAGTTTTGTGGACAAAGTTGAATTTAGACCACACCATGCTGTGTCGGCGTAGTCAAACAGAGGCAAAATATAGCAACGGTAGAAAAGTATTTTACAACTACTTGTATGAGGGAGGTGGGAACAGTGGGAAGTGAGTGCTCCAAGGGCGGAGCTAGTGCGACGACAAACATCATTAACTTGCTCTGACCAGGAAAGTGCAGAGTCAATACGTACGCCCAGGTGTTTGTGGGTTTTTACCAGTTCGATGCTGTTGGACGATCCTGGGAAACACAGGGTGACTGGGTCTGGAGAAGCGCATCATCATTGCCTCTGTCTTGCTGTGGTTTGGCGACAGGTGCCAGCGACACATCCAGGCCACTACCTCGTCAATGTCCAGTTGGAAGGAGGCTTGGAGTTGTGGGAGAGACTCGCAGAATTTGATTAGCGCAGTGTCATCAGCATACAACGAAGTATAAGGAACAACACTCGGCAAATCATTAATGTAGAGTAGAAATAAAAGAGGACCCAGTATGGAGCCCTGCGGAACGCCAGAAAGAACAGGAATGGGTTTAGAGTGCGTAATAACCATAATTTGAATCAATGCGCATTATATTGTTTCAGCATGTCTGAAATTCACGGGAAAGCAACAGACCGTACTTGCTTCCATCTGCGATTGTGAGTCTTGGTGTGGGTGGCGTGATTAGTACTAATTACTGTAATTTCACAAATTTTCGGTGTACTTTTATTTTTGGTACTTTCGGTGTGTCTGTTTCATACCTAAAATTTCAATACACCGAACAAACACTCACACCCATAATCCGATAGGGAACTGCTTCTCTGTACCGAAAATTTCTGTTCACCTAATCTGGCCTGTTGCCCTCACACCGAAAATATTGAGCACCGAAAATTTCTGAAATTAGAGTACTTTGTACTTTGTACCGCTGAAGGTAACCTTAGAACGAATTTTGTTCACAAACGTCTCTTATCCGGACTTGCCTCCGACTCGGCCCATGGCGTCCTTCTCTCGGCTCGTCAGCTGACAACCAGGGAGTAGTAAAACGTTATACTACTCCCTGCTGTCAACCACATAAAGTGTTTCCAACCAATCAAGGCATATAATTATAATTATTCTACTCTTGGTAATATGTATGTCATGTACAATCATGCACATCAAGTTCAATCTCGTATTATGAGGTCTGGTCTACTACCGATGCAGGTGATGCTGGCGTACACGTCGAAGTAGTTGTAGACTGTGGAGTGCTACTCGAAAGCTGATGTAGGCTTGTGGCACTTCCCACTCGCTATCATGTGGAACACAGGAGAGTGCTGAGATAAGAATGCTGTCACTGGAACAGAGAGATCCACGGCTGAGAATCCATGATGTGGAAACCCCAGTCCCAGAGACCAAGGCCAAGCTAAAAACCTAGCGAAACCCGATAAGCCATCAGATCCGCAGGACATCGCTGAAGGAGGCTGAAGAGCGCTTGAATGACATTCACAAGGCGAAGTAAGTAGAGCGTCTCAAAGATGGAGCGCAGATGTTTAAAGCCACCAAGCTCATGAGAAGGAGGAATGCTGTAAAGCCTGTGGTTGCCGATAAAGCAGGCAAATTCATCATCAACGAAAAGGAAGCTGCCGCTGCTATTGGAAAGCATTTCGATACCAAGCTCCACAATTCCAGCGCACAGGCAGTTCCACAATTTGAGGTCCTCCGCGGCCACTGTCAAGCCCAATTACTTGCACTGAAGTTGCTAAAATTAAAATAATAATAATATTCGCGGGATCCGCGTTAGCATCACTTGAATGTTCAGAAACACACAAGCTATAGCCTAAGCCCTTCGCTTCCGCAGGCCACCTAAACCACTATGCCTTTTCACCTAACGTCCTTAGTGGCGAATGCAGAACTCACAAGTAAGTCAGGGAGAGGAGGTGAGTCTCTCAACCAATCGGACGTGTAACGGCCCATAACCCTGTAACCTGCATCCTTGTTATCCTCAATCCGAGCTGTGAGTACCCAGTTGACCGTGGGTGTCGGCGAAGTAAAGTTGCTAAAAGCCTGATGAAACTCAATAACGGACGAGCATCTGGAGAAGATGATACCCCAGCTGCTCAAGTATGGAGGAGACGCCATGGTTTCTACCCTTTCCTCAGTTATCAATATACATGTATATTTAGCCATCAAGGATCATCAGTCAGTGGCAGTAGGCGGAGGAATCCTCATCCCACTTCAAAAGCCCAATAAACCTCTTGGACCACCGCCCAATCTCCGCCCAATCTCCGGCCAATAGTGCTACTTACATCGCTCAGGAAAGCACTATCGCTCACCCCTTGCAAGGATCAGACCGAGAGTGCAGGAGTTTCTGGCTGAGACCCATAGCAGCTTCCAGAGTGGACGGTCAACGTCCGATGTTGTATGGGCGCACAAATGGCTGGCTGCCAAAGCCCAACGCTTTCACTGGGACATCCACATCCTCTATCAAAAGCATTCGACACTCACAGATCAGACGCGACCGAGAGTCATGAGTGTACTAAAGGAAGTCGTGAACGAGGATTATTATTTTATTAGGCCTTATTATTCTTTTTTTCCACGATGGCCCATGGTCAATATAGGGCTTGAAAGTGCTACGTCACAGCATAGCAACAATTTCAAAAATTCAAAAATTGGATCCAGTTTTTGTATGGATCCAAGCACATTTCAAGCCGTCTTACTCACCGCAAGGTGATGTAACCAGTGAAACTGACTGATTTGGCTACTGGGGGCAGGGTTACAACTGGTGGCGAAGTAAAAGTCACCCCTGCATACGACATGAGTGGGTTGCTATGCACCCACATACTGAGGCAATACTTGCCAATAGCAAAGTCACACCGTCCTTAGTGGATCCAAAATAGAAATCTGATGTCAACTTAGTACTCCCTGGCCGTTTTTGACGTCATCACTTTCAAGCCCTATTATATTGACAGGAAAGGATGAACTGCGTTTGAATAAAATTATTATTTTTGCTACCTGACCATGCACCCCCCCCCCCTTTTTTTCGATGCCAGGTTGCAACGCTAACGCCGAGACCCCTGGTCGGTCGAGTTGTTCCCTGTACATCGGCACGTCGTCCCTACATCCCCTGTGTCTTGACTCTTGTCTTGTGTTTGTCTCCACATGTCTCTTTGTAGGGCTGTGTTCCCAATAAAAATAAAAAAATAAATAAAAATACCTACTCTCGGAAACAAAGCTCCATGTCCGCCTTGGGAAAACATCATCACCAACATTTCAGACAATTATTGCTACACTGGTCACCTGTCCTCTTTACGGTATCTCTGGAAGCAGCATTACGGCATGGGTTTGCTCCCACACTGGATCGAGCTCGCGCTATTCCGCCGACGACTTGACTGACTCACGACTGCCATCCAGAGAACACGAGAAGTCGATCGAACCTTCGACTCGGCAAACCTGCAAGAAAGCACCACTCCCTGCTCAATACACAGTGTTTCGGGGAATTCACCCCTCATCAGTTGAGCTTGAGTAGGCTGAGGAAGATTGTGCCTGAAGTCGTGAAGAGCACCACTTATAAGTTATAGTGCTGTCCAGGCACAAACATCACCAGGGATACAAACTTACAGAGACACTCCGTTTCCAGCGCGACAAACACCTCCGGCTCGTGAACACCACAGCAGCGTGAGTCAGTTATCGCTCCTGGACGGTGAGAACAGACGTAGAGGACCCTCGGTCATTCACAACGCTGTCACCTCCAAACCAGCTAGTCGCACGCCCGCGCTGGGCACAACAGTACGAAATAGAGGTTGCGACTTCATTACGGCAACTGAAAAAGGAAGCAGCTCCCAGGCCCCATGCTGATCTTCACCTGCCGTTTGAACTCATCTATGCAGATGACACAGATTTTGTAAGCACCAGTCGGCCGTGGCTCTCTCACTCTCAGCTAGAAGCGGCAAGTAATAATTATTATTATAGTTCTACCCTGGCGCAATGGTCGCTGATTCCCTGATTCATGGCATGGATTGGATACGGCGTGTAGACCGTACATTGCGCGCAACTGCAGAGCAGAGTACTAGAGTGCAGAGTGACCTAGATCGAGAGAGGTACTGCCATTGCCAAGTGCCATGCTGTCACCACTGGCACTGGTCACACTCACTCACACACGCAGATCTACACACTGCTCACACTCACAGACATCCAGTAGATCTACGATCATTGCACTATACCGGTAGTGCTGCGCTTTTGTCTTTTGAAGTAACAGTTTTGTGACGGGTTTTGAACACACGTGGGCATTGACGCCAACGGGGTTGCGGCCTCGCGAACCAAAATGCTGAGCTAGCTGGCACGTTTAGCGATAAATATGCAGAGGGGAAAACACAAGCAGATCATTTTGATGCTTGCTGTCACTTCGAGCTTTTGGGCCTAGTGAGTAGTGTTCTAGCACCAGTCAGGTTTATGTCAACGGCAAGCTCAGTTTCCACTGCATACTTTTCATGGTTTGCCGTCCTGTCTAAGGAAAGTTGCTTCCTCCTCCGAATATCTGTTGCTGATATACGAGAGATTTACCCAAAACCAGTACTAGTAATCACTTTTATCTTCACACTGCTGTTGAAGTGCTCTGGCCAGTCGTTTGTGTCACGAAGATGGGACATTCATACGAGCGTGTTCCGATTGGAGACCATGAATCCTACTACGTATGCCGCAACTGCAAAGTGCTTCTTGCCAATTTTGCCAACATTATCTCAAAGGTAATTGCAATCACTTGTTTTTGCTTTGCTGAATGTATGTTCGAAATAATCTGGGTTTCGGAGCACCAACACAGTTTTGTCACTGTTGAGTTGATGCTTTCTTTTCACATTAATTTCAGACACTTGTCGACTTGTCGTGGGTTGGCGTGGAAGCGATAGTCCACGTTGACTAGCCTGGAACTTAGAAAGCGACCATGAAATATCTTTCGCCATTTTCTTGTAAACTGATGGAAAGTAGTGTTCTTTTTTTACTCTCTTTCTCACTCCTGTGTGCAGCCACACCATATATCCGCACACCCCTATTAAACACACCTCACTCATCTGCAAACCCACACACACACATACACACGCACACAACAACAACAATCAACCTCTGCTGGACAGCAGCAACAGCAAGAATACACTTGCAAATCAAGAAGAAAAAGAATGCCGCAGCCAGAGCGCATGCTCCTTCTATCTCGCATTTGTGAGCAGCAAATGTTACGTCATGCAAAAAGAAAGACAAAAAAGAACTACATTTCTCGTTTCTTTCCTTCGTCAGCGAACGAGAAATGAGGCATAATGCCGCTGGCATTAGCTTTTGCCCGAGCGTGGCTGTTCTTTCTTCCAGCAAGATGCGCTCGTCATCAATCTGGCCGCATCATAATTATTTCGAATGTCGAAACACCACGTCACCAGTGTATGGTCGCGCATGCCATGTATCTAAAAAAATCACGGTTCGCGTTAAAATCGGCTGGAGGCCGAGTTTTCTGCATCCGTTGGGACGCCAGCACCCTCTGTAGATCTGTTGCCGTGCTTAGTAATATCAGGCGAACTTTTAAGGACAGAAAGAACGAAAAGAAGAAGAGGCAACTCCCTGTACCCACTGTACAGCACAGCAGTGCCTGAATGCGCTAGCAGAGCTGTGCAATGGCCTGTGCGCCAGCCTCCCGAGTCGGATTTCACGCCATGTCAAATTATATTGTAATCTTGTGCTCGATACGGTATCATTATGTGTGTTTGAGCTACAGAACCTAACCCTGATAACTTCCGTGAGCGGTTGGATAGCTCAGGTTGCATGTTGGAGACCTGTTAATTTTAAACAAAAGATGGATCTTGGAGATTTGAAAATCCAAGTTTAGACAGAATTCAACCCGATGTTGGAGATTTGAAAAGCCAAGCTTGGACTGAATTCAACCTGAAAGGTCCAGTTGTCGACTTCATGCCGTGGGTTATTGGGTCTGTCGCCCCCAGTGTCTGCTCCAGAGCCGGGTGGGTCGGCGACCCGGTTGGGAGGTACTTGGACCCGCTTGGAAAAAGAGCACCGCTTCACTTGTGACCCGGTTGTACTCTATTTTGGGAGGAGTTGCGCAAAAATTACCGACTCCCTCACATGATGCATAGACAGTAGCCGTACTTGAACGTACCCGACCCTGGCCCGGTTGCTAGAGTTGTGCCACGTGCATGTGTACCCGGTTGGTTTGAAATCCTAGAGCAGGCACTGACACCATATAATATTATAATACATAAACCTACGCTACGAGTCTGAATATGTGGGAAGCAAAAAGCTATTGTGGTCGTCTAATGCGCAGTACTTGGCGCATAGTTCCAATGAACTGGACTTGGAATGATATTTTTTTGTTTTTCCACCGTCCGTCTCTGTAGAATTTCCATGGATCTACGGGGCCTGCAGTGCTCATATCAAATGTGTAAGCTTCTCTTAGAACCGGTCTTTTGCATGGTGTACGTGAACTGTAATGCTGTATATACGATGTAGTCCTTTTTGAATATGTTGACATTCCTATTGTTGGATGGCCAGGCAGAATTGTTTCAGATTGTTTCTACAGGGTTCGATCAAGGAACTTGTGTGTGTGTGTGTGTGTGTGTGTGTGTGTGTGCGCGCGCGTGTGTGTGTGCGCGCGCGTGTGTGTGTGTGTGTGTGTGTGTGTGTGTGTGTGTGTGGTGTGTGTGTGTGGTGTGTGTGTGGTGTGTGTGTGTGTTTAACCTATTGGTATGTGTGTGTTCATCAGCCTTGCAAGCTGTTGAATGGTGTAATCCCAGCACAAGTTGCCATGTCTAACATAGCTGCTCGCTATCATCGCTTCCGCGATGGGCAGGTCTGAAGTCTGAAGTCTGAGGTGTGTGTGTGTGTGTGTGTGTGTGTGTGTGTGTGTGTGTGTGTGTGTGTGTGTGTGTGTGTGTGTGTGTGTGTTTAACCTGTTGGTATGTCTGTGTTCATTCTACAGTGTTAATGTCAGGCATAGAAAAGTGGAGATCAAAATGCTTGTAAGTATTGTTACTGCAGTACTGTCGAGTGCTGAAGAACAGGGGAGTGTGTGTGTGTGTGGGGGGGGGGGGGGTCAGGGTCCTAGCCTAGCCCGTTCTTACTTTTAGCGAGCACAGCAGTTTCGTTCTTATTCTTTGGTACAGTCTTACCTGTACATTTATGCAGAGTTATACGCCTGAGTGTGCATTATAGTGTATAGAACGGTTTCCGTTCTTATCTGCAAAAATCCAGCCTACGCCATTCTTAAACATTGGGGTAATTCTAGCCTGGCCGTTCTTCGTCGCCCAACAGTACTCTAGTGTTATTGTGGACTTGAATTGCAAGGCAAGCAGGTATGCCTCACCAGTATGACTGTTTCTATTTTTGGAGATGGGAACGAGAAGGTTGCTAAGCTGCCTGCTTTGTAGCCGAACCGTTTGTGCTGGCTGAGCTTGTTTCTGTTTCGCTTTCCCTCCACGATTATGAGCACAGCTCAGGCACAATGCAAGGAGGTCTCTCATTATGGTGTGCGCACTGTCACACTTGTGTTTGTGTGTCTGCGTGCATTCTTGTTTTTTTGCTTGTTTTACAACTGCAGATGACTGGTCGTCACTACACGTCCACAATAGAATGCTCTCATTGTTCGTTTGTAATCGGCTGGTTCTACGTGAGTTTTTGGCTGTTTTTTTTTCTTTTTTCGTTTGTACTGAAGCTCTGCACGTCGTGTATAGCTTTCTGACCAGCGGGCAAGGTTCTTATGTGAGTTTTGGCCACGGTTGTCAAAACCTGATGGTCGGCTGCAAGTGCTGAATTGTGTAGAAATATATTAAATTGAGGCTAAGCACCCTTTTCGCGTGCTCTGGTTTGTACCATATGTGAATATGTGAATATGCTTGCACCGGTATTTTGAAATTCACGTAATCAAGTGGCGTGCTCCACTGTCCGAAGAGTGCTCAATACCCGTATAGGGCAGAGCCTTCCACACGAGAGAGAGAGAGAGAGAGAGAGAGAGAGAGAGAGAGAGAGAGAGAGAGAGAGAGAGAGAGAGAGAGAGAGAGAGAGAGAGAGAGAGAGAGAGAGAGAGAGAGAGAGAGAGAGAGGGAGAGAGAGAGAGAGAGGAAGCTGTGTTGCAACTCCGAGTTTCACGTAGTCACGATCATCAGGCAACTTTGAAATTTTTGAAATTCATAAATCTGGAGCAGTGTTCCGGTATTCATGCTGAAGCGTGTAGTGTAGCGGAATCTGGTGGCGTGTCCATCCAGTCACACCTGACTTCTGATTACAGTGCTGTCGGGCACCGAAGACTCTGGGTGGTCAGCCTCCTAGCCTAGACCGTTCTTATTTTGTTCATGTATTACAGTCTATGTACAGTTGAGTCACCGTGTATACATTGGTATGCTGTGCGTGTTGGAATTCTGGGCTGTTTGTTCTTCGGCACTCTGTTCTTCGGCACCCGACAAGTTCTGTAGTGCGTGATCGCGTGCCTGTTTCTGTGTCTCCTTTCCCAGGACTATGCCTGTGACCCGTCCCAAATGTACAAGGTATGTTTGGCCACTGTGTCCAGTGTTGTAACTTAGTGATTGTACATTCCAAAGCCTGGGTCCACAAACGGACAATCGTGTCTGTTTGAAGCTGTGAATTGTGTTCGTGACGGTACATGCACACGTATGCCGTGCGGTGAAATTCGCGCTTACTTTAGCGAATGCACGCACAATCAGAAGAAGGAGGAGAAAGCGTTGTGTGTCGGGGTTTCACACACCAGTGGGTGATCACCAGACAACAGTAATAAGAATTGTAATCTGGATGCTGGTCTATTGTACTGTTGTGGACATGGAAATCCGGTCGCACGTCTAGCGGCCCCAGGGCGCTGGCCATGCAGCCGTGGGTAAGCTGTACACACACGCTGAAGAGCGCTGGTCGCATCGGCTCAATGTGGCTGTGCACTGCATGCAACTAACTACGTCTGTACCCGCTGAGTGAGGGCGCCTGCCCCGGTCAATCGACTGGATTTCCATGTCCACGACAGTATGTGCCACACAGTGAGGGTGGGAATAAGGCCTTAGTCTGACCTCGGCGCCTGGTCAGCGGGCTGAGGCAAATGTCCCATGCCTGACAGCTAAATAAAATCCGAAAGTACGTTCTCAAAGAACATGCTATTCTCAACGGACCGTCTTTTCCTCCATACGACTACAATCGTGCAAATCTGGACCTGTTGATAGTACGGACGACTCAGGAACTAGTCAGTCCACAGGCAGTGCTATTGCGTTCGACTCGAATAAGATTCCGGTCAATGTTGCAGATGTCCGGCCCTGTCGTATAAGATATACAGTCAACTTCGCTTATAACGACACTCGGCGGGGCATCAGAAAAGTGTCCTCATTCGCGAAGTGTCGTTATACCCGAAGTCTCATTATATGTGTTACAGTTGGATGGGACTTTGCTCTGGGCATGAAAATCCTGTCGTTATTCGCGAATTGTCGTTATATCCGGAGTCGTTATTAGCAAAGTTGACTCTACTTGCATTCTGAGTTTATCAAGCCATGCTGACTCTACTGACTGCAGCTGACAGAACAGTAAGCTGGGAAACGTTTGCGCCGGTTTTAGTAGCGGTTTGCGAGCACAGACCAATTTGTACCTGGAAATGTTTGCGATTGGAGGCAATTTCATTGTACTTTTGTCGTAGAGTTCTACGTTTTGTGCCGGCTTGCTTCTGCGATTTCAAACCCATCGCGAAAACCGCGAAGGATTCCACATCACAAAGATCTCCCTGTTTACAGTGGTCTCCTGTGTCCCTTTAGTGATGGTTCGGTTCTGTACTATCTGCTTATTGAGCTTCATCCGATATCGATGAAGTGGTTCATTCATCTCTTTCCGTTGCGGTTGAGGTATCTCGTCTCATCGATTGGCTAATCTCTGGACAGAGCCGGAAAGGTTTGTGGCAGTTCTGACCGCGTTTTGGCCAAGTCCAGCAGTGACGTAGCAGGTGCATCCCCTTTTAGGGGGTGCACCTCTGGCCTTCATAGCAGGAGCTGAACTGCCATCCTTAGGCCATTCGGCACAACCATGCATGTACCGAGCAAAGGTCGTACGGTTTTCGGGGGGGGGGGGGGTGCACATGCCCCCATATGCCCCTCTCCGGCTACGAGCCTGCTGCCAGTTCATTATCATCTGGGGTTCAGTCGGTGCTGTATCTCGACCAGGTCTATGGCTGCTGTTCTGTCTGTTGTGCAGGAAGGGAAGTACATCATAGAGGTTGGCCTGGTTCTGCAGGAAGACCACCCCAAACTGGTTAAGCACGGCTTGCTAGGGTTCTTCTGAAGGAATCTTCAGCGAGCCCGTACGTCTAGCACTCGCGTACCTAGGACCCAGGGAGTCGTGTTCGTATGACTCCCTTGCTTGGACGTGTTGTAGTCGCCTCTCGGGGCTGGCTGTAAGACCCGCGCCTGTATTGTCTATATAGCTGATATACATGCATCATAACACTACCAGCTGATAGCAGCTTGGTGAGAGAACCGTGTAGACTACGCACTGCATTCACTAACCCTACTTCCCGTCCTTGCTAAATAGATATCCTTTATTCCCGAAAAATATTCCCAACCTAGACGCTCGTCCGTTGTCTTGATAATGGACTCGCTGGTGTGCGTGCGTGTGTGCCTGTGTGTGTGTGTTTGTTTGTGTGTGTTGGTGTGCGTGTGTTGGTGTTGGTGTGGGTGGGTGTGCGCACGCACTGCACAGCATGGCAGCGGGTCATTTTCTTCGCGGACTATTTAGATTCGCTGAATCAGTTAACGTGGCCGGTACTGGTCTTGATTTCTTATGTGCATCTCTTTTATGGCTGCACCCCCCCCCCCCCCCCCCGCACCTGCTTGGTGCTATGTCTTACTGCTGTATGTTCTGAAAGATAACCATCCCTTTATGCTACCACAGTTCTTTTACTCGATCCTGCTATTGTCCCGTTTGTTCTGGTGTCTTGTTTCGTCCTGTATGGAGAAGCTTCTGCTTGCCGGCTGCTTCTCTCTTTTTAATTTATACTTCGTGCTAGTTTGCTTTGCAATGGCTGGTTTCTATTTATCAAAGCGAGGTGTCGCTGCTGTCTTATTTTAAAATTGAGAAAACTACGAATTAATGAACTTTAGGAAGTCATCTGGACGTACCCTGTTGTTGTTTTGAAATGTGTCCAATGCTCTGGACGCAGGAGATATGTTTGCATCATGTGAGTCTTAACGCCAATTGATCTATTTGATCCTCATGTCAGTCTGTCTGTTTTCGAGGAACATCGCCGCTTGTGTGTGTGTGTGTGTGTACGTGTGTACGTGTGCATGTGCATGTGTGGGTATGTTCGTTTCCGGACGTTATGCGGACATTATGCTGTAGTTGGTCACAAAGTATGCACCCTGTGTGCTAAAAAACCTACTCAGATGTGATGGTGTGGGGACAGCGCTGAGTAGTTCTGTGCTTCTGATTGTTTCCTTGCTGCATTGTCTTTCTGCCGGAATTTCTGTGTTTCTCGTTGTTTCCTCACTGCATTGTCTTTCCCCGGTTAGTGCTGTACTTGGTAGTACATGTACGAGTACCTAAAAGACATAGCTTGCATTGAAGTGATTCAGATTCTGCTGGCACCAGGGCAGGCCCCAACACGAGTCCACGGCTTCAAATTCACCCAGGGTGCAGTACCGTAGTCGCCTGACCACATCGTACCTCACTGTTCGCCAAGACCCACAGCTCAAGTACATCTTGGGCTCCAAGCTTGCAGGTTGGGTGTGCAGTGTGTGTGTGTGTGTGTGTGTGTGTGTGCGTGTGCGTGCGTGTGATGATAATTTAGCAATTCAGAAAGGTGTCGTTTCTACGGTGATTGTACGACTCGCCTTTATACCAAGCAGAGAGTGAGCCGTGGATATGAAATTTCTTCGTAACAATAGCTCCTATCCTACATGGTATCACACTATGTGTATTACCTGCACTGCATGCATGGGTAATGTCATTACGAGGTTGGCGTGCGTCGTTTTAGGTTCAAGTGGAGTGGTGTGAACAGTGTGAGTTGTCAGAGCACCAGCCATACTTTCACGTATTAAATTGAAAATATACAAGTAGTTGTGTACACGGTCCAGTAGACTCCTCACCAATTAGACAATTCTGTTGCTGCTCGTCTTCTATATCTATTACCTGTGTGTATACACCACATATAAAGATCTATTGTCCGAAGTGAATTTCAGTGCAAGCTGAGGCCTGGCCACAAACCCATGATAATCTCCTTCCATTGGCGTTGCTCGTATTCTATTCTGACCCGCTCAGTTAGTATGTCCAGGATTGCCCGCGGAGCACGGTCGGTTGTCGCTGTCGTCGCTACGTGTTCGATGTCTTCGACCCCGTCAGGTCGGCCTGCCGGGCCAGCAGCAGAAGGGACTTTGCGGGCTCGGCCTGGCGCGGTGTGCCGACCGTCTCCTGGCTGCTCGGCTGCGAGTCCTCGTCCTGCTGCTGGCCAGCGCCCGCTGCCGACGACTGTGCAGCAGCTTGAGCGTGCCGTATAGCCCAGTCCGCGTCGTCGCCATTGCCCGGGTCCAGGTGCCTGGCGAGTGGAAGCGAGCGCTTGTCCTTGGTCAACATGGGCATGCCGGCTGGTGTTTCCGCCTCCACACCACCATTGCCGCCAGCAGCGGAATTGCCCAGGGACAGCTGCAGGCCAGGCGGTTGCAGGGGATCCTGCAATGGCGGCGAGAACTGCTGCATGAGCTGCTCGCGGAAGCTGCGCGCGCTCATCAGCAGCTGCGGGTCGCTGGGCAGGGTTCTGAGAGCATCGTCGACGGTTGTTGCCACCGGTGATAGCAGCGCTTCGGTGTCCTCCTGCCGACTAACTCCTGCCGCTGCCGCCGCTCCGCTGAACTGAGTCTGTCCGGAGAGCTGCAGGAGAGAGTTAGCCAGGCTCTGGCGCTGCGGAGTGATGGGTGCGGTGCTGGCCGCGTTGAAGTTCGGCGGCAGCTGAAGAGAGTCGCCCTGCTCCAGGTTCAGCATGGTCGGCGCCTGCTTCTGGCGGTAGTTTGCGGCTCGGTTCGGCGTCGAGTTTGAGCCGCTGAACGGGAACGGCTTGGTGACGTGCGGCGACTGCATGTCCAGGATGTCGTCGGCGCCGGGCGTATTGGCGCCGCGGGGCGTACTCACCGTGCTGAACCCGGACGGCGTGGCCACCGCCGATGCCTGGATGCTCGGGCCCAGCATGATGTGATCGGGACGGCGCGCCAGGCGCTTTTCGTCGCCACTGCTCACCGTCACCGTGCTGCTGAAGGTCACCTGCGGCCGCCCTCCACCACCGCCGGATGACTGTGGCTGTTTCTGCGCGGCTGCTGCTGACGGTGACTGCCAGACGTCAACACCGCTGCTTGCCGGTGCGGTACCCGCGTTGGCCGTGATGGCGGGCGAGTGCTGTGCCGCCACCGCCGCAGCCGCCGCCAGCGCCTGCTGGTTGTAGAGGGAGCCGTCGACGGTGTGCGGACCCGCGCTGCCCGGTGCTGATACGGACGTCATGTACGGGTGTGCCATTGTGATCGGCACGGCGCTGCTCGTGCCCAGGAACGGCGTGTAGCCAGCAGCCACCGCGGCGGCTGCGTTCTGCTGGTGGATGAGGTTGTGCTGGAGGATGAGCTGTTGTTGCTGTTGATGCTGCTGCTGCTGCTGTTGTTGCTGCTGTTGTTGTTGTTGCTGCTGCTGCTGCTGCTGTTGAGACCACATGATCTGATTCTGTCCGTTTCAAGGTGAGAGAGAGAGAGAGAGAGAGAGAGAGAGAGAGAGAGAGAGAGAGAGAGAGAGAGAGAGAGAGAGAGAGAGAGAGAGAGAGAGAGAGAGAGAGAGAGAGAGAAGAAAAAGCAACACTGTTGGATTGTGTGCTACTAAACCGTTGTGAGTGTTGTGTTTAGGTTTTCTCCTCAACTCAAAGCACGCATGCAACAGACAAGACAGAAAGTAAGTATCCTGATTGTATTTCAGAAGTCCCTGCATGTGACATCATTCTGGGTCTTTTTTCCTAGCTTTAAAAAATATGTTTTACCGCTGCATTCTCGGTGTAATCGAGAACTACTTTCAGTCTTTGTGTGATCTGACCAGTTTGTCACTCTCACCTCGACCGCTTCTGTGGAAGGTGGCCTAAGCTGGGCTGGAAAGAGAGCGGCAGCAGTGTTCAGGCCACTCTGCGACGGCGGAACGACAGGAAGAAGCTGCGGTGGTCGACCATCATAGTGAGAGGCACCTGCAGAACATGCAAGAACATCCTTATCAGTCTACATCTCAGAAACTTATTGAGTCCTGGTGTTGACGGTCAGTTTTTCTTCAGGGTCATTTCCATCATATCACTATAACTGTGAACGGTACCATTCGGCTATTGAATTTTACAACAAACTCTCCTCCATACGCTCTAAAGCCGACCATTGCTACCCTCGGTAGCCATTACTCACACCAATAATTTCAAACAACGAAAGGGTCACGGGTAAACCATTTCCTTCTGACAGCTGTTTCGCCTATCAAAGGCTCGTCAGAGAAGGTGAATATTTCCATCATTCTTCACATATTTATGATCCCAATGAAGCATGCGGGGAGGGGGGGGAGGGGGCACTAGGTACTGTGTTGGTCAGTGCACTGGTCTGATGTGTGAAATGCTGCCAGTTTAAATCCCGATATCCTTGGGTTTGCTGCAATGTTTTGACCACTCATGGGTCCGCATAGTCTTGATGGGTACCCAGTGCTCCTGGGAGAAGGACGTGTGTGACACACACACACACACACACGTACACGCACGCACGCACACACTTGAGAACCGGCCCGGTTAACTTTAAAAGATGGTCCAGCCAGTGCAGCGGATCGACTGGCGACGATCCGCTCCAAGTTTTTGCTTCATTCACGACCATAACGTGGCTGGTAGGGTGAAAAAGTGAAAGGTGGGTCGAAAGCCGGACCGGTCAGAACAGCTGCTATGTCCCTGCTTTCAGCTGCAAGAACTTCATGATTAATCGCAGCCTACATGTATCTTAATATAGGTTTCTGCCATTGGAATGTGAATATATAAATAACAATAAGAATGTACTGTTTGCCGTAAAGTGGACTCTCCTGTAAACGTCTGTCTGCATAATTCATGACTTGCAGGGCCTGCTCGGCGGTTATTTTGCATCGATGGAATCCGTGCCTTCCTTAAAACAATATACAGCGCCCAGTTACTTACCCCCTCCCAACTGCATTTGCGGTAGGACAGCAGTACCAAGCAATACTGATGGTGCGGGCATCTGTGAACCGTCGTTTTCTGCAAGCGGAGAGACATGAGGGGGGGGGAGAGAGAGAGAGAGAGAGAGAGAGAGAGAGAGAGAGAGGGGGGGGGGGGGGAGAGGAGAGAGAAAAGTAAGTTGGTCACTAGCATAGAAAAAGTATACTAGTTTACGTTCTTCTCTGATAATTGTGTTCCAGGGCAAGATGACTCGATTTGCTTAAGCTCTACACACCATCGTATCAACCCGAAGTCGTTTTCTCGACCTGCCAAGACGGAGGAACATTGGAACGCAATCACAATATAGTGTATCTCTACGGCTGTAGCTTCTAACACTAATCCAGGCGACTGCACATCTTGACAGTCCATATGAAGTGTACCGTAAGTTGAAAGTTCAAGCCTTTCGGCATTCTTTCCTTTGATGGTGCGGCTGACGGTGGTCAAATGAGCCGTGAAATACATGGTAGATGTGTTTTGTGACAAAATCTGCTCTCGACTTATACTGTAGTTAAGTTTAACCGCCCCAGTATTCTCATACCTCTCTTGATTGCCTTGGCCGCCGTCCCAGCTTCTTCGTCAATCAGCGACATCAAGTTGCGCTGAAGGATGTGGGCAAACTCCTCGGTGCTGCTGTAGCTTCTCCAGTTGTCCGACACCCAGCGGGAGACATTCTCCAGAACCTGCTTGACTGCAGCACCACCTGGCACCCACAGTGAGCAGGAGAGATGGAGCAATTTGGGAACGGACCTTCACATGGTTTTTAAATGGCTGCCACTGTGCTATTAAAGGCGACGGCAGAAGTATACCCCAGCATCTTTCCTCGGGTTCTCATTCAGCTGTCAGTGAATCGGTCAACAATGCATGTGGCATACTGGGGGAAGAGCCCGGCCTCCACGCAGAATGTTGCCAAGCTGCATCTATGCCATGAGTCAGTAGTCTTATAACACTATAGAGTGGTGGTCACTGGTCACATCTTTGTCATGTGACTAATTTCGTGTGGAAACTGGAAAGTGATCATGTCACGTGACTAACTTGTAGAAGGTGATCATGTCATGTGACTAGTTTTGTGTAGAAGGTGATCATGTCATGTGACTAGTTTTGTGTAGAAAGTGATCATGTCATGTGATTAATTTTGTGTAGAAAGTGATCATGGCATGTAGACACTGTGGGCAGTGGAACCAACATGGCCGACTTCATCTGACCCATAGATGCCGAGAGTTGAGTGGAGTTGAAACCAACATGGCTGCACCGGTTGGTCATATGGTAGATGTACAACAAGTCCTCAGTGCAATGTGCGTGCGCGGGTGAAGGCAAGTAGCTCCCCGTCTGGAATGAAATTGCCGTATTTTTTAAAGTAACAGTTAAGAAATTAATAAGAATAGTCAGTTCACTGCGCAAAGCATGTGCTGCTGCTTACGTGGCTTGCTGAGGCCTGGCATTGCGCCGGAGTGAATGCGCTCGATATAGTGGATGGTGTTCTCCAAGGTCAGTGCCTTGTCTAGCTTCTTGCTAGCCTGCAGCAGCATGTGTGTAGAAACGATGCAGGTAGCAAATACGGCATTCACGGCCTGAAAATAGGATTTTCCTTGCACTTTCAATAGATTTTCTCCGTGCCATCTTGAGTTAAAAGTTCATCAACTAGTGTACGGCTGTATGTATGACTAACATTTATCATACAGTCGTATTTAGCATACTTGCTTATGGGGTCCACGTCTGCAGCCAGAATACATTCGGTGCAGAGATTGGACTGGTGCACCCCCCCCCCCCCTTATATCCTTGATAGGCATCAATTTGCCTACTGGGGTGCCCCAACTCCAAGCTCCAACGTTGCGGGCAACCACATTTCCTGAAAACAGTGATTACAATGATGTGTACATGTACATCTGGCCCTCACTTACCAGTTGTGCACAGTCCGGCACTATTTGCCCGAGAGTTGCGAGAGCATTGTTGATTCGATCTCGTCTCTTCTTCTCGATCACCTTGTGAGAGGCCAGATAGTTGAGCTGTTCATGGCAAAGGAGACATTGGTCATGCTCACATGGTGAGTACTCGTTCACTACGATGTCACTGCTTACTTCGGTGGGAATACATTCGATGCGTGTGTGAATGCGGAGGAACGAACTAAGTCCTCCAGTGCTGAGGGGCAGCGTCAGCTTCACGGCTGTGACGGTCAATCTTGGCTTCGGTAAAGTCTTCACTATGACTATAATCAAGAGTACATAACCCCAAGAGTGTGCAACTCCAGCTATGGGGTCTGCGACGGCAGAACTTCACATCACGCGATGAACCCATGCACTCTGTGCATGATAGATACTGGGTTGTACGCAGCCCAGCTTTGGGTACAACTCTCTTGTGGTCACTTTGCACTGTTTGCCAGCATAACCTTTTGAACCATGTCACGTGATGTGAAGTTCTGCCGTCGCAGCACAGCATAGAGGTTGTGCAGGCAGTTGCACACTCTTGGGGTTATGTACTCTTGCTAGTAGGGAGGTTTAGTTCCCACGTAACGGAAACGCGTACGTGGGTGATCCACGTAAAGTGGATGAAGGGCACCCACGTTGCAATGTTGTGTTTAGTCACACGGAACAAACAAAAGCATAAAGCGAAAGGCCTAAACCTGGTCAAAGACGAAGCTACCCAAAGCTCAAGAAGAAGAAGAAGCTCATCCAATATTTTGATTTCGTGCTTCGGAAACTTCTTCAGCTGAGCACCCTCACAGCTCACACAATGCGCTCCATTCTGATTTTTACCCATGTTCTGGCGGAACGTGGGTGAGCCTCCATACACGGTATGTCGTGAATCAGAAAACGTCTGTACGTGGGTCACTGAGTATCACGTGGTACACACACGTAAAGTACCCACGGATTACGTGGGACTAAACCTCCCTAATATGTACATACGTGTAACTATTAGAACTGGATTCACTGGTTAAAACCCCATTGTACATTAACATAGTGACATACTTCTCAATCTTGGTCTTACGTATACCAACCCAGCATGCCTGCGTTCCTCGTTATCGTCAAATATGCAAGCTATTGTGCTCATGCACTTGGGCAGCACCGACTTCCCAAGGATTCCTGGGGGTTAATCCCCCCCCCCCCCATACACGCATTTCGAGAAAAGCAGGGGCGTCGTCGGACATGCTACGGTCACTACGGTATTGACCGTACCACCCTTTGTCCCAAATACCCCGTGAATCAATAAAAGGCACTGATTTAGACTCGAAATTTTGAATTTTTTCAGAGAAGCCAGGAGTATACTGTACTTCATCTGTCTGACCGTACCACCCAAAAAATATCTTCCGCCGCCCCTGAAAAGTGTCCGCCTTGTCCACGCAGTGTCCACTTACCCGTGCCTTTCCCCGTCGTGCCGGCGTCTTCGTCTTTCCGCCTCCGCCGGCACTGCCGGCGCCTCCGCTCTCCCCGCCCATCGGCTCATCCTCAGAGCTGAGCAAGGCGCAAGCATACATACACAGTCATGTACATGAATTATACAGAGACTTATGCATGAACAGTACTAGCCATTGAATTCTCTCTATTGAATACCATATCTTCCGGAGTATAAGCAACACTTTGAACACTCTTAATTCACCCAGATAAAGTCGGTGTGGCTTACACTACGATGGTCAAATGAACCCTGAAATACAGGGTAGATGTCTGTATTTCGTGACAAAAATCTGGGTGCGACTTGTGTTCCAGTGCAGCTTATACTCCTGAAAATACTGTAACCTACTTAGGATCACTTCAGACGATGCACGGCTCAATCCGTGCATCAACGCCAGGCTGCGTACTCTAGCATGGCACTGCTGTATGTATGGGAGCCCATTTCACTGGCTGGCATTGTGCACGGAACACTCGCCTATTATGCTATTTTGTTACATGCCATACGGACAACCATCTCTTTAGCCTGAAACACTCAGCTAGACTCCATACGCGACTCGCAGAGGCAATGAATGGGCTCTTTGGCACGACCATGTCAAATGCTAACACTGTTTGACTTTCGAAAGTAGCTTGTGACTAAGTGATACAGGTAAATGATCGAGAAAAATTCCCAAGGTGGTTATTGAAAGTCTGGACTCTTCTTGCAGCGTCATTTCTATTAAAAATAGGTTGGGGCTAAAGGCCACAAGTCAAATCACGCTGTACAGTGAACAGCAGGGCTACTTGAGTTGTGGCCTTTACTACCAAGCTTTAGTTTAGCCCCAAACCCCTTTTTTTGCTACGCTCATTGAATATGGCACAGATCATAGCAGAGGTGGTGATTAGCATCCGGCATGCAGGTGTCAATATTGTATGTTGAGGTGCAGGTCACGGCTAGGTATTTTCAGCTACCAGTAGGTTCATTTAAGTCATACTAATAGTGACGTTGGGGCCGGAGACTGTTGAACTGGAGAATGCAAAATAGAAACCGTGCCAAGCAGGAAATCAATGCTAAATCATTGCATTGGTGAGATATTGAAGAGATTCGCTTCAGATATTTCATTGAAATTCTTCGGACTTCACGCCTTCCGTGCTCCACGACGTCCTGCGGCGTGTTCCCATCTTTTTTTTCCTTCTGAGAAACTTGGGACAAGGAAGATGGTGACATTAGCGGTGAGCTGTATTGGAAACCACTTGGCGTTCCAATAGCCAACACTTGGACTTCTATCAGTGAGCGACTCACCACTGAATCACAGCGCAGCTTTTATTTTGCAGGCGACGTTTGCCTTCGTTCGACGGTAATCTGATTCGTTTCTTTGCCGTCTTGGTCGCGGCATTTCGAGCTCCTGGCTTGAGGCGCGACTTCGTCTATCACGTGCGATTGCTGCTCGGAGAAACCATAGACCTGTTGATTTTTGTTGATAGCATATGGCTTTCTTCGCAAACAACAAGATACATAAGGTCAGTATTCGCAGGACGTGTCCCCAGCTCCTGGCCAGCGCCAGGCAAGCGGAGGCGATCGATCACACGACAACAACCCCAATCGCACGTGCTCACCTACTATGGTCCGCAGAGCTAGTCTGAGCTCTAAATCTAGCCAAGATGCTCGTTCCCACCTCCCAGTCCCCGGTGCCCTGGGCGAGAATAATAGTACAAGACTCACCGGTCGTCATCGTTTCCCTCTCCATCGAGGCTCACGGGCGAGTCCGCAACGTCGTCCTCCATTGCTTCTTTCAGTCCAGAGCCGTACTTCTTTCAGAAATACTGGCAGCTGCCGCGGCCCCTTCCCAACCATTCCACCCCACCACTAGCACTGCATAG